TCCAGTTTTCAGGCAGCTGTGGGTTATTCCAAAATACTAGCTCACGTATGTATCCTCCGGGATACATTTGATCTGCTGGTTTATACATGTTGTTAGTCTTAATGGCCCACTGGAATGTGGGTTAGCATTGGGTTTTCTCCAAACATGGAAAAGTGAATTTAGGGCTGGCGACACGACTTGGGAAGGCTGAGGAAGGACTCGGTATCCTTCAGTGGGGCGAGCCAGACAGAGGGAATGAAGAGAGAATGACTTCTATAGGAAAACCCAGCGTAGTTTTAAGACAGCTGGCGGCTGCAAGGTCTGTAGGGATGACTGCATGTAACCGTACACTAGCTGCAATCAGCTCTCAGTTATCAAGGATAATGGGGAGGGAAGAAAAAGGGAAGAGCAGTGGAGAGGGAATGACCCAGATAAAGCAAAACTGCAAATAATATAAAACAGATGTAAATTAAACTACAGAAAATATAGTTAGAGCATTCATCTTTGAAAAACTTCTCAAAAGAGGTCTGCAAGGGGCAGGAGCAGCTTAAGGCAGCAGTGGGAAGAGGCGAGCCTGGTGCAGGCAGCATACTTCTGAGACGTGTACTCTGTCACGCTGTGTGGGAGACATGGATATTAACGGAAAGTGGCACCGCAGCTAATCCACCCACAGATCACGGAGACCTGAGGATGCAGATTTTTCCTGTCTTCTGTAGGCTCCTAGCAGGCAGAAGGAAGGCACGGTTCATTACACAGAGGCTGCAGCCACCAAAAACACTTTTTTCTGCCCAGCTGCTTTCACGCCACTGCTTTCAATCACAGCATACACACGAGTTCTCCCCAGCAGGTTTTAGAGGCCAGGGGTACGGTTGCGAGCTAGCAGAAGAGGATGTGAAATCAGTCCAGGTCTCTAGATTACCACCCCTTCCCAAAGCACTGGGGGCCAGGTTGTCAAATGATCTCAATTTCCACGGCAGCATCACAGAGGGCGTGCTGAGTGTGAACTGGCTTTAGAAAAACCCAGCTTTGGTGCACAGCAGTCCAGTGAAATAAGCACAAGATTCAGAAGATTTATGGATGTGTCACTTTTCTATGGCTCTGTTTCCCCTCTAAAAACTACTTCTGAAGCAGTATTTGTGCAGAGTTGCTGTGTAAGCACCAAGTATTATTACTTTGACCATCACGACAGTCAGCTGATGAAGAGGTGGAACAAAATGTCTGGAGGGCTACCCAGCTCATGGTACCGGGAGGGAGCCGCCAGGTCATGTGTCTTTTGGGAGGTGGCTCCTATGTGAATGGTTTTCAAATCTTCCAGTGTAAATTTGCTTCCAGATTTTTGCAAACGCCCAAACACTGAAAAATCTTTTCCAGGAAATTTCATTACCAGAGTGCTTTAATCTCACACAAGTTTTGTAAGAACAGGCAAAATGAGAGGAGGAATAGGAAAATGCTTAAAATCTTGTGGTCAGTTAACAGGGCACTTCGAAATGTGTTATTGAGCTGGACACATTATAAATTTTGGGATTAGCTAGCAGCGGTATGTAACTGTCCACCTCTCTAAGTGTAGGATGTTGGAACCTTTGTTACCATTTGCTATTAAAAGCATATGTCAGTGAGTAATGTAAAAGTATTTATCACAATAGTCCTCCTATAAAAACAAACAGTAATATATCTATCGGCTTCTAGGTGGCCAGAAGAGTTTCAGCCCGGGAAAAAAAGCCAGGTAAGTTAAGCAAGTTCACGGAGAATATTCTATGTGAGCAAAGACATTCCTAGAAGAATACAGATCTGCTGGCTTGCTCCAAAAGAGAGGCAACACAATCAACAGAAACAAAAGTTAAAGTCCTTTTGGGTAACCAAATGTTGTGCCAGTGCTGAGGAACTCCAGAAGGATCTCACAAAAGCAAGTGAGTGCACATAAAGTCGGCGGGTGAGCGTTAGTCTAGATAAATGTAAGGTAATGCATCTGGAGAAAAAGAATATAAACTACGCTTAAATGATGCTCAGCTAGAACGTGGCACTCATAAATTAGGAAAGAGGCCTCGGAGTCATCGCTGGCAGTTCACGCTCATCAGCTCAGTGTGCAACAGCAGCAAAAAAAGCCAACAAAATGTTGGGTGTCCTCGGGAGGGTAATGGAGAAGGAGACATAGGGTAGCATTTTGCTGCTTACATAAACCCTTGGAGCATCCCCATCGCCAGTGGGGCGTGCAGTTCGCTGCACCTCAAAAACATAGCGGGGTCTGCGAAGGCCCAGAGCAGGGCACCAAAACCGATCACAGGCACGGAGCAGCTGCTGTACGAGGAGAGGCTGGAAAAGCTGTTTACCATGTGCTTGTATGGACGCCGGTGCTGACACAAGAGAGGAGATGCGTGGGGGCAGGAATGAAAGACCAGTGGTGGAGGAAATGTTGAACTGCTTCTTTTGGCAGCTGTGATGGCTTCTGGTTGCTTAAAACAAATGTGAAAGCAGTTTTAGACTGCATCTTGGAAGCAGACCAATTGATTTCTAGTTCCTTTGCTAATGTGGTTCAATCTAAATTTCTTATGCACTAGCCCAGGCTTCTTGTGCTTCTAACCAAAGCTTGCTTCCACTGTGTGCAGAAATCTCTGTCCAGAGAGAATGGTTTTTAGTAGTAATAAAAAAAGCAGCATATTCTCCAAAAGTTTTAAATCTGTTCTCAAGTTCCTTCCGCCCCACCCCCCCAATCATGGCTTTCAGGCTCCAATTCTGAAAGAATTCGAGTAAGATATAGAATCAAAGCCAGAGGTTTTCAGATCTGATCCTTATCTGATTTTCTAGATCGTCGGAATAGTCTTTTCACCGAGTGAAACCATGCAGAAGGAGTCGCACTATTTGAGATTGTATAACCCCTGGCATGTAGAATAAGAATTGTTTTTAAAAGAGATTTTCATTGTTTGTGCACAATGGTCTTATCTTTAGCTAAGAAAACCATGTTTTAAATTCAAATTCTGTTGGAAAAACAACAGCTTAAATTAGAGGGAGAATGGTTGCAGTACTCGGAGCAACTTTGAAAACATTTGGATGGTTCTGCAGATTTCGCTAACCGCTCCTTGGATTGCTCCATGCAAAGATATGTGCCTTTGCACGCTGCACAGAGATTACGTTATTTCCACACCAAATTTTTTACAGATTTATTTATCGGTCTGTGTTGCTTTTGGCTCCGGTTTTTATACGATTTTCTGTTTTTATTGTTGTTGCCACTCCTACACATCTTCAGACATGAAGCATTCTAAAAATAAAAATATTTGCCATTACCATAGTGCTTTTCATATGAGGATGTCAAATTGGTTTTAAAACTGGAAATAATTATCCCTCATACATTTTACAGAAGGAGTAACAGATGAGCAGAGCCGGAGCGATCTTGCTAAGATCCCAGCACGCCGGGGAAATGGCGATTGTTGTCTTTCCCCTTCCGCCTAGCACTGGCAAAAACGATCTTTCTTCTGGAAGTCTATTTGTAACGGTTACATTTGCCTCCAGCATATCTCAGGTGTTTCTGTACAGTATATTGACGTTACGGCGACATGGCTGGAGAAGCGCGGCTCGTTTCTGAGGAGAAATGCTAAAGTTCTGGGGAAACGCCGGTTGCTTTGGCGGATGCTGTGATAAAACCCGTAGCTGGCGGCTCGTGTACGCGTCCCCCCGCTCCTGAATGTACTCCAAACAACAACAGACTGATCTTTGCAGCTTTGTTTGACCGTCTTTGTTCTTTGTTGCAAACTTGGGGCCCAAAGAGCAGTTCTCACGCTGCACTAAACAAAAGTAGTGTTTTACCCACCTTTTTTGCTCCCAGGAACTAAATACCCTCATAGTTGGGAAAGGCAAGTAGAAAGCATCTTTGCAGGAAAGGAAAAGGGAACGGAGCGGAATGTGATGTGCACGAGGAACCAGCCTTTCTCTGTGGGCTTGGGATTTCACCTTGTGTGGAGCCTGATCAGGGGTAAAATGCGTTAAAAATTTGGCCGTGTGGTTC